GCTTGTTGCTTAGGCACTTCTTTACGACCAATCAAGTCCCAGTTGGTTGCCCCAAAAATCAAAAGTTGACCTTTGCACTTAGACCCTTCAAGTTTGACGCGCTCCTTGGTGTGCTCGGGCTCGGTGATGACCACGGCCGCGCCGCTCGCTTGCCGCCGCCGGGGGCCCAGTCGAGCTCCAGGCCGTCCTCGTAGCCGCTGCTGCCGCCGCCACTGCTGCTACTGCAGCGCTCAGGCCGCTCGCGCTTCCTGCCCGCCGGGCCGCCGCGTTTCCTGGGCCCCACACGGGCCGTGCCGTTGCCCGAGCTCGGCTCCTCCCAGGCCGCCGCCACCGCCTTCTTCCTGGGCATGGTCGCGGCTGGAGGGAGACACCGGTATGTTTTTAATATAGTTGTTTAAAGTAGTCTCCAGAAAATATTTTAAGTTGTGAAAGCCAGCCAGCACTGACATGCTTAGAGTTGTCATTGTTTCAACTACATTTTTGTCATGTTTTCTCAATCACCAGGTCCTATATTAAGATAGACTCAGCAAAGGGGTCCCATGCTTTCTTGCTCATTTCCTTTATGTTTTACAGGTGTTCTTAGTTGGTGCATAGCTCAAAGGGGTAATACAGGAATGCAGACTTCTTCATCATTTAGCTCTGTCCTGTCACACATCTAGGAAAGAAAAAACGAAAAACATGGAGGACTGTCATATCTGTTGTATTGAAACTCTGGCCCTGAAGCAGGAAATGCCACTTCTGCTCACATTTCTTTATAAAATATATGGTCATATGGCAGGATTCTAGCCACTGTAGCTTCAGCTCATGCTCCTCAACAGTCCTTGTACTAGGAATTGAAGAGTGTACTTGGGATAGCTCATAGTCTTTGCCACAGAGTCATTTGTTGTATTATTTCTCAACCTACCTAAAGCAGTGGTGGTAAACTTGGGACTTACATGCCTGAAGGAAGGGATGCACAGAGCCCTCTGTCAGCACTTCAGTCAAGTCACCCAAGCCAAAGTTTGATAAATTATCTGCATACATACAACAACAAAGATCCTAGTCACTGTCCAGGAGCATGCCAAATGTAAACTTTTACCTTTCAATTAAAATATTGTATATTGAAAGTTCTCTTAATTTTTAAGACAAAGGATGTTAATGTATTAGTTATTTTTTCTAAGTTAATACCTCAATATTCAGCTTTAATTGCAATGTTAGTGCTTTGCAATATTAAGTGAGTTTTGGGGCGCAGTTTGGGCGGTTGGCCTCTAAAAATTGCGCCATCACTGATCTAGAGGATAAACAATCCCAGGAGACAGGGATGTGCAGATTACCAAACTTAAGTGAGTATGACCGGATAGTTTCATTCCAGAAAATTTTTATCTACAGAAAACTTTTAGAAATACTATGTAGAGAAATGACTGGATTGTGGAAAAGCAACTTACCTTACATGAAGTATCTTCTGTTATCAGGAATTGTAGCAGATCACATGGAAGAACCTAGTAACTCCAGGCACCCTTTCTTACCTGTAGGTCTTAGAATGAGGCTACAGACCACATTGTGAGGGATAACACACATATGTTTCAACCTGAAAATTTTATGGCAGCTCTTTAATGTAGAGTTCAGTATATAAGATTAATGAGCATTGATATTTTTCTATTGGTCAGTGTGTCCTATCACTAGGACATACTGCCTGATAACACACAATTTAAAGGAAGAAATGGTTTATTTTTGGTTCAGAGTTCCAGTCTCTTATCAGTGGACCGTATAGACACATCACCATGCAAGGGTGGGGGCTGGGGAGCATAGCGGCTCACCTTGGAGCAGCCAAGCAGCAGAGCTCTAGGGGAGCATATGCTGAGAGAAAGCATTCCGAAGGCAAGGCTCCCATGAGCCTGCTCAGCCTGGGATTGGCCTCCTAACCATACACCCACCTCTGCACACCAGTGGGTTAGTCCACTGATGAGGACAGCCCGAATGACCTAATCCAGTGACCTCTCTGGGAGTCTCTCAATTCTGCCAAGTTGACAATCAAGATTAACTGACACATTTTAGAATATCATCCTTGTCGTTATGTCTTGTCACAATGTTAAAGCCCTGTTATGGAAGTTAAAAGCATAAGTATACTGGATAAGCCATGATTGAGTTTTTTGTCAGGAACTAAGGTTATTTATTACCCAAAAATGAGAAATAGAAAGTTTCTCTATATAGCTTCCTAAACACACTAGAAGGATGACACAGTGGGCCAGATAGCTCTTTTTTAAGCTTTTCATGGGAGATTTGAATCTTATTCTTCGGTGCTCAGGAATCACAGAAATGGTGTCCCTTTTGACAAACCGAAATAACTAAAAATAACTGCATTGATAAAATTTAAGTATTTCTGTCACTAAGTATTCCAGGACCTATTAAATAGGGCCTGTATTTGGAATATCTCTGCTTTGGAATGTTTGAGCTATTGATCTTGTCATAGAATATAATTTAGAACTAACTTTGAAGCCCTTATTAGTGAGAGAAAAATCTCTTTCAACTACAAAAAGTATTATTATCATTTGTTATCTGCACAATTAGGAAGCAATAGAGTACAGCAGAGGCTCTGCCATATAAATAATCTTCATTGCCCAGAGCTTTTTAGTTTATTGCAGAGTGTTTTATCACATGCCTGTCTTCCCATCCCCACCTTTATAATTGTGTGTGTGTGTGTGTGTGTGTGTGTGTGTGTGTGTATGTGTGTTTGAAATCCAAACATGAAGTCTAAAAGGCTAAGACTTAGGAAGCTACCTCCATCTAGTGATTTAAGGAAGAAATGGGAATAACTCTGCAGGCAAGTTGCTCTCTTTTTTCAAAATATTTAATAAAATAGTAAGTGTCACTGGCAGTGACTGAGAAAAGTGAAAGTTTTTAGATCAAGCACTACTTTAGTGTTTGTGCAGTGTGAGAAGGCTGGTAGATGGTGTATTCCGCGAATGAAGCCCAGTGGCTACTGGCCAGTGTGTGGTGTGTAGAATTGCATGAAATCAAGGACACACTTCACTTTTCCCTCACTGAGATGTTCTAGGGAAAGATTCTGTGACCAAGAAGACAAATCTTTCCAGCTGCTAATGAATGCGCATTCAACTCTGCCACTCAATTTTAGGCACATCTAGTACAAGGGCCAGATGTTGTATTTTTCTTGAATCCATGAACAATTAATGGAAAGCCATGTATAATATCTTTCTAGTTAGCTATTTAGGACAGTGAAGAAGTAGGCCAGTCTAGCTAGCTGGATTCAGATCCAGGCTTTATAACCAGATAGCTGGTGCTCTGTTGAGATGTCACATCTTCCTGCCTGTGTGACTTTTGCAGGAAATGGGGGCTTAAATTAGAAGGTAGTTGCTAAGATCTCTTTTCTATCCTGGGTCAACATTTGATGTTGCTCATGTGAAATCAGGACCAACTTTTGTCCATAAGCACAGTGTAATGTTTGCCACTTCTCCTCTGCCACTTCATTTGGGGCTTATTTTTTTTTTCTTTCACACCACTACATGCCCCATAGGAGTTTGTGTACATTGCAGTATAAATCATTGGAAAACAGATCTCAGTATTATTTCTCCTGAGGGATTTTCATTTTAACATTAATATAAGCATCAGACTAAAAGCAAGAATCTCAAAGGAAGAGAGAAAAGATCAAGAGAGAAAACAAAAGAGGGCATTTACGTTGGCTTTCCTGACTCAGCCCTGGTTTTCAACTGTTGTCCCAGACTCATTACTAACATTAGTTCTTCTGCTTTCAAAAGTATCCTTACTTGGCTGATGAATTATTTGATCACCCTGTATAAAGAAGAAAATTTCCTAGTATCCCTAAATTAGAAAGTGGAAGGAAAGAGAATCTGCCTTTATCTGTACTCTCTCCAAGCCAGATTCCAAATAGGATTATGTACACATTATGCTGCTAAATATATAGAAACAAATATATCTTATCAAACCACTAACCACATATATCCTAAATCAGAAATTAGTAAACAAAGCCCATGTCATTCCTCAGGAAATAGACTAAAGAGTATTGCATGGACTCCTTTTACCACTGGTAGATCAAACTTGAAAGGCTCATGGAACATGAAAGTCTAAAAGACTATCATGCCATATGTGAGCAGATGGGGAAAGACCCTAAGAAAGTCGGTCACTAAGCCTTACCTGGAGTCCTGGATGCCTAGCACTTCAGTAATCTGTTGGGGAGGACAAAGGAAGCCTAACCTGTAACTAAAATGAGCATTAGCGTAATAAGAAAATGAAGCTTTGGAAGTTCTGGAAATGTAGTCAAGCCAATGGAAACCTGTTTGTCCAGGAGGTGCCTAACACACCTGGAGGTGATGCCCCAGTCTTCCACCTGATGCTTTTTTGCTTCTGACCCTAGGCATTTAGAGTCCTATATCTTAATGTAAAGCCCAATGTTACCGCTGCTTTTCTCCCTCAGTTTTTGCTTAATTATACAGAAGTGACAAACCAGTGATTCAAAGTCCTTTTGTAGTAATGAAACCTAGGTGTGCTCATTAGGTAGCAGCAGGTTTGATTTCAAACTATTTTATATAACTTTTGCCTCTTGAAGCACCACAGAGTGCACAATTGGGGAAAATTTTGTTGCACCCTGAAAAGGGAAGTCATTCACAAGGATTCCATTAAAATTGATTGACTATTTAGAGACCATGTAAATGGATGTTCAGAGTATTCAAAGGCCATGCAAATCAGTGATCTTTGCTAGTTCCAGTAATTACTTCAGAAAGCAAGACAACAAAATCAATGCTCAGACCTATTAAAGGGCTTATGGTCATCCAGTAGGAAAGATGCCCCCTTGGCCTCCCTTCCACCAGAGGCTGAGTGGCGGGTTGGGACAGCTTAGCGTGTTGCATGCCTGTTCACTGGTGCTGTGCTGCTGCCTCTCTCACTTTTGTGTTTTGTAAAACTGGTGCAACACATCAGCCTGTCCCCTTCTGCCTTAAAGGGAACCTGGATAAGGTCTGCTCAGACTTAGGACTTCAAGATAAGACTGTTAGGGCCTGCCAGATAGCTCACCAGATTAAGCAGGCACAAGGACCAGGTTCAATCTGATCCCATGGCATGTAATGCCGGCCCCGCTGCCAGGGCACACTGAGACAGCAATTGAGACTTGAGACTGGGCTTGATGGCATGTGCCTATAATCTCAGTGCTTGGGAGGCTGAAAACAGGAGGATCACTATGAGTCCAGTCTGTATAGTAAGACCCTGTACTAAATACATATATATATATATATATATATATATATATATATTACTTCCTGACAATTATTAAGCCATTTCATGTGTATGACAGAAGCTGTTATGTACTCATAAATTATCTTTTAAATAAGTATATAATAT